ATTTATTTATTTAAGAACTGATGTGTGTGTCCACAAAAGGAAATTTTTTGTAACAGTTGATACTTGTCAGACACCCCCTTATTCTCTTGTTAGGATTAATATGAGATTATGGAAGAGTGCTTTCAGGTAGAAGTCATTATATATAAGCAGTTTAGCATGTTAATACTTTTATACCTTAGGTAGTGTATAAATTAAGTGTTTGAATTTCTAGAAAGTTTTAGCAGGAATGTAAAAAAGTTTTATAGTTTAACTGTGATTGGCATCTTCCTATTCTCCAATAGCTGATTTCTGTTTGTGCTGTCTTCGAATTTTCTTTCTGCTGAAAACCAGTTAATAGATCATTAGTACTTTCAGTGTCACAGGTGTATTGCCAGAGGAGATGGGGAACACCAAGAGTGCGACATAAAATACTACCTTTGAGCAGGTAGAAAGCTTACTCATTTAACAAGTCCCATGATTCTAGATATCAAAGCAAAGTGAAGGTCCTTGCTTACATGGACTGATTGATTTGTACACAGTAAATAATTGTATCAGAGAATGACAAAGACTTCATCTCCTAAAAATGTGGCATTGAAAAATGCTATTTCTAGCCAAGAACTACCAATAATGCCTCCTATAAAATTTATCCTTTTTCCTTTCAGGTCCATTCTTTCCAAGGATGGAGTTTTATATGTAAAGCTCAGAGCAGGCCAGCTCTCCTACAAAGAAGATCCAATGGGGTGGCAAAGTTTGTTGGCGCAGACTGTTGCTAACAGAAACTCTGAAGCCCGGGCTTTTAAGGTAGTGTTGGTTGATAAAACCGGAAGGGTGAAGGAAAACTGTCCACATCCCACCATCTTTCTTTCTCTTCTGTTGCTGCAGATTGTAAACTGTAATTGACCATAGTGTCCGTTACTTTGTAAAGTGACAGTGATAATAAAATAGGGGTAGTCTGCTGGTATTCTATATAAGACTTGAGTTCAGTGACTATATCTCTAATATGTCTTAACACTTAAATAATATTTGGGTTAATAATTTTACTTATTAGCCGGGCATGGTGGCGCATGCTTGTAGTCCCAGCACTTGGGAAGCAGAGGCAGGCAGATCTCTGTGAGTTCAAGTCCAGCCTGGTCTACACAGTGAATTCCAGGACAGCTGGGGCTGCAGGAAGATCCTGTCTCAAAAAGATGAGTATTGAATCCTGTCATTTTTATTTCTATTTACATTCGTGATGTAGCTGTACTTTTCCACAGTTATACCTTCATTGAATTTCTTTCCACAACCCCTTGGGTATAGTCATTCCTTTCTTCAGCTCTTTGTATTGCTTCCAGAACTCTCTGAAGGGCTGGTTTTGTGGACATGAATT